TGATATTTTATATAGTCATTATCATTTCCTTGAATTGCACTTTTAGTGTTCATTCATACACTTACCCCACTTTTATAACTCTCTCTAGTGAGAATCATCATTCTCTTAAGTCAATTCCTCTTGCGAAACACTCGCTCACTTGGGCCAATGCCTTAACTCTCTCTAGTGAGAATCATCATTCTCTTAAGTCAATTCCTCTTGCGAAACACTCGCTCACTTGGGCTAATGCCTCCATGGCACACCCGCACTTTGCGAGCCGATTGCTTCCTGGTATGCTCGCCACTTGAAGCAATGTCAACTTTGTAGTAAACTCGCTCACTAGGTCAATGGCTCTATACCATGCTCACACCTCTCGAGTCATTGCACCCCATGCATCTTAAACCCTTTTGGGTCACAACTCCCACAACACACCCAATCTTTCGACTCACTGCCTCCATGACACTCCCACCCTTTTGGGTCAGTGCATTCACGCCACCCCTATTCTTTGGATCGCTACATCTGTTAGTTTTTTTAATAATTTAATTTAATATATTATCTAAATTTAATTTTGAAAAAAAATAATTTTGAAAAATGAGACAGAACAGATCTCATATATTCACTGGTTTAAATAACCGAACACGATGTTATAAGTAATGCTTAATATTGAAAGATGAAAATATTAATTGATAATAGACTCAATCATTAAAACTAAGAAATTTATGATATTTATATGGTCTATGAAATTTCTAAAATATCATTCCCCTACCTAATCTGAAGATTAGATAGAGTTTAGATTATCTGGGTTATTAAATTTTTCTATAAGCACAAACCCCTATAGTTAATTACATCTTAAGCATCTAAAATCACTTAAGAAAACTCTGAATTAAGATCGGGGTTTTATCTTCAAGAATTTAAAGTTTATTTTTTACGATTGTTCGTAAGAAAATCAACTGGGAAATGCTTAATGAGGAACAATTATTTTGGAATTCAAATGAGTGACGGGTAGAGGATGTCATTGATACTGAAGAGGCCTAATAACTTCCCAAACTATCATATGGTTTGACTTTACATTTTGGAAGTGATGGTATTTAATGTTTTACTCCTATAATTTATTTAAAATTTTGGGCTTACATTTGCACAACCTTGCAAATAGTCCAAGAAAATGGGAGGATTTACGTTGTACCTAACAACGACCTCGTGATCCTAAAAAGAGTTAGGAGTTATATCACATGACATACAATCACGAGAAAGCCTAAATAATAGTGTGAAGATTTACGTCATGCTAGATGAACAACCTCAAGATTCTAAGGGTTTATGTTGATTAAGTCGATGAAAAGTTTAATTGCGGTTCAAACTTCACTTCGTGTTTTGTCTTCATTTGATAGTCTTAAAGGTTGACAACTTCTCGATTGTATCAAAACCTAATTATTTGAAAAGAAAAGGGAAGGGAAAAATCTTGCCTCAGGTGGCCTATCCTAGGTTATTGTTGTTTATTTGTTATGATGTTGTGAAGTTTATTTTGAATTGATTATTATTTTTATTAAATTGATTAAAAAGGGGGGATTTTATTTTATGTTAAGTGACACCGATCAAGATTTCATTGTTCTATTGTCCCAACACCCCTGTTAGTTTTGAATTTACTTAGTTAATTTCTTTAGATCCGAGAATTTTTGTTAGCAACAGTAGGTTACCTCATCCAAGAAATCATCGTAAATAAAAAAAGGGTGAATTATTATTATTGTTTTGTTGTTATTTATTATTATTATTATTATTATTTTATTTATATATGTATAATATAAAATTGATCCGTCTCTATGCATTTTTGAGGACATAAATCAAGGTTTTAACTAAATAGAGCTTATGAGATCCCAGAAATCACTTAGGAAAGTGATATGTTTCTCATGAACTCAACTATTATATTTCTAGAAGTTTTAATTGTTTTATAATTTTTTATGGAATACTTTTGTTGAGAAAATATGTAATTTTTAGGGGTTTTATATATTTTTACTTAAAGAATTTCAAAATATTGTGAAATATTTTTTTATAGATGTGTTTTGAGTTAAAAGTGTTGGGTTAATATTTTGTGAAATTTATTATTCTATTTAAATTTTAGAATTGCTTTACTTTTAAAGATTATTTTCTTTAAAAATTCATAATAAATCAAAATGACCTCCAAAATATTTAAAATCTTGCTGAGACATTTAGAATGTGATTCTAAATCATCTCAAGTTTATCTAAAATTTTCATGAAATATTAAATCTAGTGGCTAATTTTCATGAAATATTAACCCTTAAGTAAGAAGGAAAAATTATTCCGTGCGGACCACATGAATTATTCCGTGCGGACCACATGCAGAGATGCATGCGGTGTCCGATTTCCACCGTTGATCACGGCTTCGGTGGGACTTTTAAGGAAAAAAAAATTGAAAGTGGGTCTCACCGAAGCGGTGATCGCGGTGAAGATCAGACATCACATACATCTCTGAATGCGGTGTTCGCACAGAATAATTTTTACCAGCAACTGCAAGTTTTGCTTGTAAAGCTATTGGGGGCACAACCCCAGTGTTGTCATTGTGTTTCGGTCAATGCATACATACCACAATTTTTATTTATTTTCATATTTAATTGTTAAAGTTTAATATTTTCATTTATAAGCTTCGTTGTTATAAATTTAAGCATAAAATATGTATTTCACTTTTAAAAAAATTAATAATAATAATATTTTTGATGTAATGTTAAAGATTCGAGTGGTACATGTGTAAATATCTGAGTTTAGGTGTTAAATATGTAAATATATAAGCATCGTGTGGTGTGCATGTAACTTCTTCAAAATTTTAAAATCAATACTATTTTTATTTAATATTAAATAGTTCCACGAACATATACATAAACATGAAATATAAGCTAATGGCAACGAAATGTCCTATACACCTTTGTGGGCCACCCCCAAAAATTGTTCTTTAGCTTTTTCGTGGGAAAAAAAATATTACCACAGGCCCCTGCACGTAGAGTTACGTGCGGAGTCCAATGAAATTACGCCACACGAGAATATTTCCCTCGTGTTATTCAGATATTATTGTATGTTATTCATGTGTTATTGTGTTATGAGAATATTCCTGATATTATAAAAACACAATAACAAATCAAAAAACTTGAATAACACACCATAACACCTGAATAACACAGGAGGAATATTCTCCTGTGTTACTAGACTAATTTTTTTTTCTCACATTCACGTGTGGCGTAATTTCATTGGATTCCGCCCGTAACTCAACATGCAAAATCGTGATATAATATTAGCCCTCTACTGTTTTTATTTTTAATTTGGGATAAATACATTAATAATTAAACTAACGCCGCTCTCCCACTTATTATTAAAATTATTACATATTACTAAGTAATTAAAATATTATTTATATTAAGTTTATCATTAATAATAAAGAATAATGACGTTTAGAAAAACAAAATAATTACATCCATAATACTTAATTCTTATGTATTTACATAATAACACCTAACTTTCAGTTTTTATACACATATCATTTTATGTGTGAATATCGCTTTTAAAATATCAAAATGATGAAATTTTTTTTATATGATATGAAAGATTGAGGGATAAAAATATAAAAATGTAAAAATTATGTATTTGATATGCAAATTTATAGGAATAGAGGGATATTTATGTAAATACATAAAGTGGCAATCACTATTTGACATTTGGAATTTATATTTATGGATGTCAGAGTCAAATTATTAAAAATTTGATAAATAATGAAAAATATTAACCAATAATTTTGCTTGCTAGATTTTTGAATTGGGATGTTTTGAGTGTTATACATGTAATTGCTCTTATTGATATGCCACAAATAAATTTTTATCATTCGACATGAATATCGAGATATGAGAGGAATCACGAGACAATATTTTAAGCATGAAATATTCAAATCTTGATAAAAAGTCATACAGAGCTATGATTTCAGCAGACTTATAGTCAAATTGATCAGCTTGATGTGACAGACCGAATGATATGAAAACTAGCCCAATCCGAGTCAAATCAAGTCATTGAATCACACTTAAATGATTTCCGACATATTTAAAAGATCAAAGGGTTGTCAAATATGACAAGTTTATACTTGAATCGAGTGGCTCGACAAGACGAATCCAACGAGCCCAAGATCACTCAATTCTGACATCATTAAGACACTCAAATATCTAGTAAACGTCGTATGATCAAGGGAAGCTCTCCGGATCGTCTGATCAAAATGATTTATATTCCTGCATTAATTGCACCCAGAATAACATAAATAGAGCCTCATTCCTCTCACGAGGAGGGGATGAAGTCTGGAGAGAGAGCCTGAGACCTTGAGGAAAAGCTGTAGTTCAACATCACCGCCGATTGTAGTCAAACACAACCGACCTCCATCGTCAACCACCACCGATTGCAGTTGACCATCGCTGACCGCCGAAGACCATCACCGATCATCATCTACCTCCGCTAACCATTATCGATCACCACCAACCATACGCTGTCGGTCAACATCGTAAACTGAAAAATATAGTTATCATTTCCCGTCTGTGGGATAAGAGATTTCTGTAATCATCAATTAATAGTGTATTTTTGCAACTGGGCCAAGCCCCATTGTTTTTTCTTTTACGGGCTTTCTACATAAAAACTTATGGAACAGTCACTGTTTTTTTTTTTTTCATCTGAGTGTGTACAGAATTCTCGTACAACACTAAGATGGTAATCCGTCACCCTATCGTCGTGAATTTTCTGCCACGCATCACTTATAATAATAATTTAAATTTTATTTGAGCAAATTAACATACATTTTAAAATAAATAGCCAAATTGTTCATTAAAATTTAATCAGATTTAAATTTAAACTAATTTCGAGAAATTGAATCAACTTAGGAGAAGCCTACTTGCGGCCAAACAGCGATTTTTAATCATATTTTATTGCTAATTAGGCGTGAAAGGATGGATTTTTTTTTTTTAATTTTTAATTTTTAATTTCTTAGATTGGCTGAGAAGTCAGTTCATCGGATCAAAATTATCCGGAAGAAAATTGAGAGAAATTGACCCTTGGGAAATTGCTCCGGAGAGGAAGGAAAAGAGAAGAGTAATGGATTTCAATGCCGAGAGCCGCCTGAGGGTGATCTCCCGCCATCTCCGAGCCACCGACGGAGACCACGTTACTCGATCTCAGTTAAGCGCAAGCACCACCGCAGGGGAATTTGTTCACGGTGAGTTATTTTGCCGGCTCTGCTCTCATTCATTCAATGGGATTCGTTCTTTGTTTTTGGGTTTTGTTTTGCTATGAATACCTATTTTAATGTGGTTCCAGTGCTTGATTTATGTACAGAACTGAAAAAATGGTTTTATGTTTAGTCCATGCTAAGCCCTTTTGGTTTTCGTTGGCCTGTTTCATTTAGTTCGTGGTGGACGATTTTTGGTAGTTGGGTGAAATGATGCAAGCTTATAGGTTGGTTGATGGCGGATGCTTAGAGTGATTATTCTCTCGTGAGCTAAGACGGCTTTAGATTGATTTGAGACTGTTTTGTTCGTTCTTTTCAGCCTGAAATTTGATTTTGAAGTGTTTGAACTGGGGCGAGAAGTTCTTGGATTAGTAGGAAGAACGCTGATAGACTTCGGATGGTCTTTCCCATGGAAAATGAGCATTTTTCTGCCGTTGAATCAATTGCGGATGTGGGTTTTCCGTGAAAAAAAATTATAAATATTTTGATAATGAACACAAATTGAGGTTCTAGATTATTTTTGCTTTAAAGGGGTTCTGGTTTTCTTATGATAATGCAGTCACAGGAACTGTAGGCAATGCACAATGAATTTTATTACATGGATTTCATCCAATTATGCTTGACAGCCATGGGTTTTGAAGATGTTTTAGAGTTATTTTTAGTGAAGGATCACCTAGTCAATTGTGGGAGAAGCTAATCAAACAACAACAACAACAAGAAGCTTTTATCTTTATCCGACTAAGTGGGGTCGGCTACATGAATCTTTTTGCTCCATTGTGTCTTATTGAATGTCATATTTTCATTTCATTCTAATAAATTAAGATAATTTTTTATACAACATGCCCAAGCTAATCAAACAGCTGACGTTTTATTTCTTGGGGCATTTACCTATGCAGCACACAATTCTTATGTCACACCTAAACTTTCTTATCTACACACATAATACTCAATTATTTAATATCACATAAAAAATAGTACTATTACCATTTTTTAAAAGTGAAATACACCTTTTCTTGCATATGTTAAACACCAAAATGCTATGTATGTAAATATGAAAGTTTAAGTGGGAGATATGTAAATACATAAGAATTGCATGCTACATATATAATTTTTCTTTATTTCTTTTATTCTGTATTTGATTCAAGAAATATTGTGGAGCCAAGTAAATTATTGAACATAAATGGCGTTATAGATTTTAATAAAATTTGACATAATTTATTGGTATTATTTAAGTTATTTGGTGATTTAAATATTAATAAGAAAATATTTCAATTTATATAGGTAGCTATTTGTTTGATAGTTTCGTCATTCTTATATCTTAAAAAAATATTTAAACTTTAAAGTGTGTAAGAAATAGAAAAATTGATAGTCATTAAATAAGTGATTAGTCATTATTAATTGAGCATTTTGTAGACTTCTTGGTAAGCTACTTATTAAAGCTTGGTAACCACATATATGAACATGCAGGTCAATGTTTAAGCTTATTCATTTATATGCTAAGATTTTGAAATTGTGTTCAAGCTTTTAAAATTTTAAACTAATAAGCACTAGTTTTATATGCATGAGTATCGAGCCATTTATCAAGTGCACTAGTTCGCTTATAACCCAGGGCAATATTTTTCTTATGGCTAGCCAACAATGTAGGTAGATGCTGAAATATATTTTTTGTTTGAATGTCATAACAATAGAAGGAAAATAAATATTAGATTTAATTTTGCTATTGTGCGCTCATGATATTTAAGTTGTATTTTAAGTGATATTATGAAACAAGTTTTTTTTGGAAGCTCGGTTCATAATTGACTGCACCATTTATGGAATAAGTAAACTTGAATGTGAGGAATATTCATATATGGGATACGACCAATTGATTGGTAGTTCATCTCTAAGAGCATATGTGGAAATATTAATCCTGTACCGCTTTGGCAATTCACAACGTCTGCACCTTCTAGTTTTCTCTGCCTACCTTGCAAGCAGCTCCATCGGTGGATGTAATGCGCACTAGCCGTGTGATCAACCACCTTGGTAATTTGCCACACTCTTACCTTTCATAGACAGTTTGCCAATCACCATTTTTTTTTTGTATAGAAAATTAATTATGAAATTATTAGGTTATGTATTTTTTCATCTTTTCATCTCTTTATGGCCTATGTTTCTCTTATAAATATTTTAAATGCCAACGTATGTAGTATTCTTTTCTCATATGCTGTAATATGCTATTGGAGCTGAACTTTTTACATCAGTCATACTTATATGTTTCACAGCCTCCTAGAAGTCAAAGTTTTATTCATCTTGCCTCTAAGAGTTTTTTTTTTTAAAACCATCTTGCCTCTAAGAGTTTTTCCAAAAAATATCACTTCTTTAGAAAGGCACTCTAAAATCCAAAATCAATTTCTTAGGACCGATAATAAATTAGTGTATTTTTATTCCATTCAAAGGAGTACCTCTTCTAATGAGAAATTGTTCACAAAAATTTCTTGCATTCATTCACAATAAAATCAGATAGCAAGAAGAAAAGCATAGACATCCTTTGGAGGTTGCTCGATCTATTACTTTTCAAAATATTGTTGTAGCGAGGTTGTTCTTATTGCTACATTTCTCATTAATCATATACTATCAAGAATACTAAAATTAAAAACCTGTCATCAAACTCTCACTTAAGAATATCCTAGATGTAGCCTTGCCTTTACCATTCCTCCCATGGTGTTCAATTGCTTTACTTTTGTGCATTTTTTCTACTCATCAAAGTAGTAAAATAGATTCAAAAGTGATAAATTGCATTTTCATTGCCTACACTTCTCACCACAAGGGCTACAAATGCTATTATCTTTATACTCAAAAAAAAAAAAAAAGAAAGAAAAAAAATCCATGGATGCAATCTTCTTTGAAAATTAATACTTTTCTTTTTCTGAAATCTCACATTCAGGTCAACCATAACTCTCTCTCTTTTTATTTGTTTCTCAACCAAGTGACCAACTCCTCTTCCGCACTCATTCGAATTTTGCTTCTTTGAATACCTTGAAGATTTTCAAGATGTCATACAACAAGCAAGGTATAGAGGTATGTATATTCTAGATGACAAAAAAATTCAACTAGCAAAGTAGAACAAAACATTTATCCTGAACTAAACTCAACGTCCAACTCAAGTCCTGACATTGCTTCACAAGGATAAGGCATACTAATTTTGAAGATGATCTAAACATGGACATTACTGTTATTAGGAAAAGCGTAAGAATTTGCCTTAAAACTTTCAATTAATCATTATTTTTACATCGACAAATTATCTCCTAGGTTCTATGTCTTTACTAAAAATCCTTCAAGCTTGGAAATTCCAAACAATATTCAATAAGCTTTAAATCTTATGAATGAAGAAATGTAATTCATAAGGAATCTCAGGCCTTTGAATGAAATAATATCTAAAAGCTTTCAAATATTTCTAAAGGGAAGAAAGCTATTGTATGCCAACGAGTTTAATATGAAATTCAAAGCAAATGGAAGTGTTGACCAATGTAAAACAAGATTTATGGCAAAAAATTTCACTCAAACATATTGTATTGATTATTAAGCAATGTTTACTCCATTGCTGAGATTCATCATTAGGGTAATTTTTCTCGTTGAAGATTTAGATTAGTCACTCCATTACTTGATGTAAAAAAAATGTAGTCTTAAACGAAATCTAAAAGATTAAGCATCTATGAGAACACTAATATGAAACGATATGATTTCTCATAGAAACTTTTGGTCAAAATAAATATTTTCTTTAATAATCCCAAACTACACATTTAAAAAGATAAGCACATATAATTTGAAAGGTAGGAAAATTTTCTCAAATTCTAAACCTAAGACTCACAATAACAATCTCATGCATAACTCAACCCTAAACATGTTAGACTTATTTATATAAAATCATAATAAGTGACAGAAAACTAAATTGCTCGTAGGCTAATAAAAGACGAATTGCCCTTAGATGCCAATCTAACATTACTCACATCTCAAAACACACATTGTTCTTAAGGTGAAAAAAAAAAGACAGTGTTCCTCCACCACAAGCTACTCTGTTTTTTTATTCACTGTCTCCTCATCACAGATTGTGAGAATTTGCAATATTTGATTTTACAATGGTCTCTTGGTTTAAACTTCTCATCACACCAAAAATATAACCCTTGAGCTCGCTTCTCCTATATCTCTTTCGCTGTAATATGCTTGAGTTTCGCCCTCAGTTGTGACCCATGATGCTTGTCTTATGAAGCGTCCCTCTTGATTTCAACAATTTGAGCTTTTAGAGACATTTTGGTTATCGCAGTTCGATGTGAAGCTCCACTTGTGCTACTCTTGTTAGTCGTTTCAATACATTATGATCTTCAACCAACTATGCTAGTTCCATATATTCTCTCAAGTCTCGCAGTCTCATCGGACGGAGTGTTGCATTTATATCGAGCTTTAGACCATTTTTGAAGTTACCCTCCAAAACTGCTTCAGAAATACCCCTCGACCTTCTTGCTAATAGCTCGAATTTCTCCTAATACTCCATAATAGTTCTTTCCTGAGTCAATGCAAGGAATTGTTCATCTAGGTCTTTTGTCCGAATTGCTAAAAAACATTTCAACAATCAATCCTTGAATTTTTTTAGGTTCTGATTGGTTGCCGTTGTTCTCTCCATTGGTACCATGCTAGAGCTTTCATTTCCCAACATAGGGTCGCCGACATCAATTTTTCTTCCTCTATCAACCCATTAACAATAAAGCATCTCTCCATGTGATAAACCCAACCATATGCATTGTCTCCTTCAAAAATCGACATCCTCAGTTTCTTTATGTGCGAGTCTCCTCTCCAATTCTTTCGTCTGAAGTTCATTCTCCCCGTGACGTGGGGGTAGGGTTCCCTTCCTTGACACGTAGTGATTTCCCTTCTTCCATAAGTCTGACGCGCCCCATAACCAATTCTTCCATCCCCATAAGCTTTAGAATCACCTTCTGCTGGAAGGTGGGTGC